TTGTATTATAACATTATTATCCTAATATATTATATTATAAACCTATTGAAATTATTCAAATTGTAAATATACACTACAATTGCTGGATATTCTTTTAATATGTAAAACAGCTAACGTATAATGTTAGTCTTACACAGTGCATAATTTCAGTAGATATATGCGCTTCACAATATTACGGTACCCCGATTCGTTGAATTAAACACGTTTTGGAACAGGTACTACTGATTCTTCGAAGAACATTCTACAACATTGTAGCTTTAGACATATGCATGCGCATTGGGGATGTTTCAACCTTCCAGGTACTACTTACATCTGGGCGGAAAGAGAATGTGCGTTGTCAAAGGAAGCAAACAAAATGCATAGAGAGGGATAGATTCGAACCCATGCAATCCAAGTTGAGAACCGATATCGCAATCACAGCGCAATCGCATAGGAATGTATTGTGATCTTCAAGAATCGAAAAGAAATTCATTTACGTGAATTTTTATAAGCCATATTTGTCAACGTTAAGGTCTGTCCACACTAGGCCTATAACGTTTTATGTGCCAGACATGTGTGGTTTGCCCATATATAGGGCCATATATAATAGGCATGATGATTGTCATATGACACCCATACATGAGGAAATCAAATTTGTCGCAGAAAAGATGATAAATGTGAACAGACTTTATGGTTGCGAAGCCTTTCAAAGTGTCGATGTTAACAATTGAGTTAGCCATCTTACCCCCTTTTCATATATTTATTATTAAATAATAATAATTTTTTTAAATACTGTGTATTTTGTTAAATTGTAGGGAATGAACAATCTTGGCAGTATGATTGAACAGGATTGGCAGATGATTCATTCATATGACATCAGATCGCAAGTGTGCGCCAAACTCAACATAAAGTTTATAGGTAGGCCTATGCATATCACTTGAAATCTGCAAATAACATTACCCATAAAATATTATACTAAAACCATATTTACTCATCCCTTAAAAGGCATGTAATTCTACGGCCATGGGAGTATCGTAATCCGGTTTCTCTACACAATTGTGAGAGAAAAGTTATTGTGTAATTTGAAAACGTAATTTATATGATGTCAGGGTGATAATCGTTACTTCAATATAACTGAAACCGGGATAGATTTACAGGTAGCAATAACAATAATTAATCGCATTTCCAGTAACAGACGTTTAATACGTACAAAGTACAAATACGTACTTCTGTTTATTTGTAATGCGGAATGAAGTAATAACCCTTGAGAACTACTATGTAAGCCAGGAATCGTCAATGGTTTGGTATCGTGTCAAAGTAAGCCCATAAACTGATTTAAACATAAAGTAAATGGCATACGTACTTCTGTTTATTTGTAATGCGGAATGAAGTAATAACCCTTGAGAACTACTATGTAAGCCAGGAATCGTCAATGGTTTGGTATCGTGTCAAAGTAAGCCCATAAACTTATTTAAACATAAAGTAAATGATACTTCATTTTCTTAAGGGTTTTTATTATTTATAATCATTTACAAATTCACCATATATATATATATATATATATATATCTGTTTTTTTTTTTTTTTTTCTTTTTTTTTTTTTTTTTTTTAAATCGTCAAATACAGTATTATTCAAATGATTCCCAATGTCACTAACTCTAACTTTTATATATCCTGGTTTTCGTTAATGTCTCAGGTGAGAGAAGTGCAATAATGCATGCCTGTCTCTTATACACATCTAGATGTGTATAAGAGACACTATATATGCCTATATATAGGCCTATACCATTGTTATTACAAGACAATATATAATTCCAATTATTCAATCAAAGATGCCGAGTCGTGGGATATTGATGACGTTCAAAAATGGATACGATGGGTGTCGACTGCTTGTTTAAACATGGAGGAATGGGATGTCCAACCAGTGCGAATGGACGGCAGGAGCCTATGTAGTTGCACAGAAAACGATTTTCGAGAAATGTTGCAAGTTCCACCGTCAGTTGGAGTTATGTTTCATCAAATCTTTCAAGCATGGTATCGAGGTAAATATTAGAATTAAAATTATAGGTTTATGTATTTATTTTGACCTTCCGGAAAATATCGTTACATTATCTGTATATATTAAATGAACAATAAATTACGTCCATAAATTGGACAGGAAATATGGAATTATGTATAAAATATGAATTATTTTAGTTAATTGTTCGTATTTTAATATAACTAAATATTTAACATGGTGTACACCTATGAATGCTAAATGCATTAAATGTGGAATTATGAAATTATATAATGTTGAGAAACAAAATGGTAAACATTATAATATCACTTTTATCAACTCTATTTAGAAATATGTTGTCCTGATACGAAGACATATTTGAGCACAGTACATTAAAAAAAGGCTTAAAATGCGACAGTAATTGCCTCAGGATACGGTACCGGTATCTGTTGAAGGGCATCCAGATTTTTTTTTAAACGAGGGGGCACAAATTTATAATATTAGTAGGCCTATCTAATAAAAGTATGATTCGTGTTCAGTATCTGCTGCTACGAAATATTGAAAAATTAATATTTGTACGCCATTTTGTATAATTTTTGTTGTGTAATGAAGAAGTGTGATGAGAGTTCTTCCCTCTCGGACGAATGAGATCAGGCTGATTGTTAAGCCGGTTTTCGATTCGCGGTTTTTCGCGAATCGAAAGCGTCGTTCATGTGCATGCACAATCGCACTTCTATTAGAGTTTTCGCTTCAACGAAATCGAAAGTTCGAAACTGTTTCTACTTTTTGCGAAGCGAAAAAAATGCACAGCCAATCAGAGCTTAGGGAGCGAACCGACGCTTTCGATTTACGCGAATAAATTCGCCTGTTTTCCACTAGGCGAATTTTTTTTCGCACCAACCGCCGGAAGGGTCTTGATGTGAGGGGCGCTAGGTCGCAAAATATCAGGTTAATTTTTACTACATGAGCGTGGGTTTTTTGACTTCGGATATTTTCAATGGGAGGGAAAACTGGTGGGTGGGGCAGCTTTTTGGGGATGCATCCCCTACATACACCACTGAACTTCAATATTTAATTTGTTTACTACTATGTTACTGATTTCAGTTAAAATATTAGGTCAAAATGTTTTACATTCCTTCATTACGCATAAATAATTTATCATATTTATAATTTTTAAACCTTTTAATAATTGGGTGAATTTTTGTAGTAAAACAGCAAAAACCTGAATTATTTCGAACTTTGTCTTAGCGGAAGTTTATCTTATTGGATTCGTTTAAAGTAATTAAAAGTTTTAATTTAATTCGTAAAGGGTTTCCAGAGGTTACAGCGTAACAATTAAGAAAGGAAAATAGACATAGTGCTTATACTTCCTAACAGGATACATGATATAATAATGCGATTGGATTATTGAGCAATTAATATTTGAATTGAATTCCTAAAGGGTTTCCAGATTTTACAACATTACAATTAAGAAGGGAGGATAATAAACTAGTTCTTACTGCCGCTCATTATACATAAGGAGGAAGATTTAGGTTACTTAATATTTAATGTTCTGGAAGGGAAAACTGAGGGGAATATGAGTAACTGGCAAAACACATGTGGTTAGACAATAGGCCTACAATTGTTTGGCATAGTAGAGTAAAGGGGAATGTCCATTATAAAACTTCAACATTAAGTAGTGGAGAAGTATCAGTCGTTGTTATCTTAAGGACGGGTATATTTTGGAATGAAATATAGAAAAACTTAAAAAAATTATAGAATATGAGTATGACGACTCCGAGAAATGACAGTGGCCTAGAAAAGTTTTTTTCATTGGGGAGGGGGGGATGATTGGCGTGTTAGTAACAGGC